ACTCTTCTTGATGGGTTTTTAAGCCTTACAACTTCTAAGGAATGACTCGGTTTCTTAGTGACTATTGTTTGCCCAGGATTTTTTATAGTAAGCAAGTTATTCCAGCTGAGCTTCACAGTAATTCTATGAAGTAGACATCGGCTCCACCCATTTTAGAGATGAGAAAACTGATGCTTGGTAACTTAACCCAAGTGCCTCAAGTGCAGATAGGGTTCACCGGACTCAAGAGCCTGTGGTCTTTCCCACATACCGAGCTCCTGGGACTCTCCACTTGTATTTCCATGGAGTCCATCGTAGTATAAAATACTGGGGCAGTCGGGCGCCTGGGTGGCTCAGTTGGTTAAGCGTCCAACTCTTGATTTCAGCTCTGGTTATCACCTCAGGGTTGTGAGATTGAGCCCCGCATAAGGCTCTGTGCTGGGCATGGAGCCTGCTTTAGATTCGCTCTCTCCCTCTCCCTCTGCCCTTCCCCATTCCCTCCCTCCCTCCCTCTCTCTAAAAAAAATAATTTCTCTCTCAAACTAAATAAAATTTTTAAAGGGTGGGGTAGGGCGCCTGGGTGGCTCAGTTGGTTAAGCGTCCGACTCTTGATTTCAGTTCAGGTCATGATCTCAGGGTGATGAGATCGAGCCCCACATCTGGCTCCCTGCTCCGTGGGGAGTTTGCTTGAGATTCTCTCTCTCCCTCTGCCCCTCCCCCACTCATGCATGCATGCACATGCTCTCTCTCTCTCTCTCTCAAAATAAATAAAATCTTTTAAAAATAATAATTTAAAAGAACTTTGGCTTTTTAAAAAATAATAAAAATAATAATTAGCAACAGCCAGCTTGGCTTCTTATGGAATCTCTAGGGCACTGTTGGGGGCTTCGCAAGGATACAGAGGTGAAGAGAATTAACATTTATTTACTGGGCACTTCTTCTGCGCCTAAGACTGTGACAGGCACTGTATCATTATGGTCTCATTTGTCCCTACACCAACCCGGGCGAGGCAGAAGCTGTTTCCCCAGCTTGCACCCTAGACTGCAGAGATAAGAGGCCAGGCTGGCCTTGCAGGCCAGGCCTGCTTCCCCCTAAGCCATCCATCCAGAGGGTTGCTCTCAGAATTTCCTGCAGAGACTTAGGACCCAAGGCAGGCAGGGACTCTCTTGCAAAGCATGATCTGGGGCAGGACAGGTATTGGAGACCGCTCCCGTGGACTCCCTGCTGTCTCACCTGTGTGGGGACTTGTGCAGACTGGGGGAGGCCCAGGCACACCCACTGGCAGCTCAGTACTTGGGAAGGCACACATAGCCCAGAGAACAGCCCTGAGCCGGCACAGGAGGCAACTAGCCTGGTACTTGGGGCTGTACCGGCCCCGAGTTATGGTACATGGAGGCTAACGAGGCAGGGTGCCTAGCAGAACCAGTTCTGGGCTTGGAAGTGAGAGAGGCCTGCCCTGATTTGAATCACAGGTTGGCAATTCCTGGCTGTATGACTTTGGGCAAGACATTTAATTTCTCTGAATCTTAGTTTCATCATCTGTAAAATGGGTTTAGCAACACTTGCCTGGTGAGAGAAGTGAAGTCTTGTGTGTATAGTGCCTAGCATAGTCCTGGCATGAAGTGGGCTCGTATACCCCACTTCTGTCACCCCAAATGCCTTCTGCCAAGCAGGGTCACTGTGGAACTAAACTGGGAGTCTTAGAAGGCTTGTGCTTTCTGGGCCCAGCAGTACCCTGTGCCCCAGTCTGTTCACTCTGCATGCACTCATATAAGCCTTTCCAGTGAGCACCACTGTCCACTAGGGGTGAACCTGGGAGACGTGGGGTATGGAACCCCTTGAGGGCCTTGAAAAGAATGGCCTGACCAGCGCTCATGTCAGGAGCTTCTGGCCCCCAGCCGGGCTTTATCGGGTACTTAGCTGCAAACGTCTGGGCAGGAGTGGGGCCGTTCGCCCAGGGTGGCAGGAACATGGGGGATAGCCATTCAGCCTTTCTGGAAGGAGCTTTGTAGCCTGGCACCTGTGGCTGGAGTTCAGATGTTACCAGAGGATTTAGATTTTCTTTTTAAAAAGAAGAAAAGGGAAAGAGCAGAAGAAAGCCTTGCCAGTGTCTGGTGGACCAAGGGGAGTGGGTTGGGGCATGCAGGGGAGAGGCAGGTTGTGGTCGGCCGCATGGGAAGCGCTTTATAAGCTCTGTATTTATTATTTCTTGCTCACCATTAAAATCAAATGTACTCGGTGCTTTTGTATTCAATACACATTTAACCCTGCCGACTTAGATTTCTCAGGTTTTAAATCCAGTGGGGAATTGGCTGGTTTCCCAACTTTCCCCACAAGTCCCCCTTGAACAGAGCTCAAAATCCCTGTTTAGCATTTTCTCCCCTGGCGCTGCTGGGATCCCAGCACTGGCGGGGCCAGTCGCCGTTGTGTGTGTTGTGTGTGCATGCGGTTTCTTCCCCCCTCCCCAGTCCCCCAGCCCTCCTCAGCACCCCCGAAAGACGGATGTGATCGCTGAAATATGACGGGCCAGTTGTCGGCGCCGTCTTGTGATTCGGGCTTCATTAAACCATTTTGTCCATGTGTGTCGGTGCCTGGTTGTGGCCGTGTGTGTGTGTGCACACGTGTGTGCTTCGTGCATGCACCTTCAACTCCTGTGCGTGCTTCTGTGAATGTGTATTTGTGAGACAGTGTGAATGTCAGCGCCTCGGGGCCTCTGTGCATGTCTCTGGATGGCTGGCTGTGAGTGTAATTGTGTGTCTGGCTTTGTCCACACCAGTCAGGTGTGTGAGACTCTGGGTGGGTCTGAGCTGTGCAGGTGACTGACTGTCTCTGGGTCTGTTGTGCCTTCCTCTCTCTCCCCCGCCTCCCTGCCTCCCTGCTCCCCTCCCCCACCCCCTTCTCCCTGCTCTGTCTGTTTTATCATCCCTAATGAAGCAGTCTTCTCCATCGATCCTGCTGATTGCCAACCCATTCCTTTTGTTTGTTGGCGCTGAGCCATTCGGCGGCACTCTGACAGCTCAGCTCGTCTAATTAGCTCTGTTGTTCTTTTTCCCCATGTTTCACCACGTTGCAAGTTCAGTTGAAGTTGCCACAAACTTAATCCCCCCATTTCAGCCACAAGTTCACATTCCTCTCCCGCCTTTATGGTAGCGAGAAGCAGCTGTGTGCAAGGACCGGCTGGCGGGCCTTCATATCTGATCTTTCCCGAAACCCCCACCCAGGGACCTCCGGGGCAGGGCAGAATGGCTCCGTCACTCCACACTGCACACCCCACATCCGCCTTTGGGGTGAGAAGTCTGGGGGGAGCATTCCAACCCGGTGATCCTGTTGAGCAGCAGCGAGAGGGAGAGGAGTCTGGCTGTGGTCAGGGAAAGCGGGTCAGGGTTTGAATGGGTGGGGGATCTAGCCATCCATTCATTCAGCAGCGGTGACTGGATGTCTGCGTTGTAGCAGGCCCTGTTCTAACGACACTGATACTAACAGCAACATTCTTATGCACTTCTTAGATTCCAAGCAGCCGCATCCATTTGTTCCTGAAAGTCTTGCTGGGTGACCACCGGCACCCCAGGCAGCACTGAGCAGGATGCTAGGCAAGAGTCAGGTCATCTTAGATGGCGTCTTCTCATTCAGAGATGCCCCATCCCCGTCTCCTTTTTGTTATTGGTAAGGTCACAGAGAAGCCCCCGTGTGTGGCACACTCCTTGCTGGCGCTTTCCCCGCACCATCTCCTTGGATCTTCGTTCAGAGGAACCCCGTGGAAGAAGACCCCAAGTTTGGTGGAATGCATTTGGCGGTTACCACATCTCTGATTTGCCAAACAAGGCCGAGATCAGACTGGCCACTCCACAAGAAAAACTTCAGTTAGATGAGACATGCAGAGACCTGAGAGTTTGATGAGACTCTGCAAAGACTTGTCTTTCGTGCAGCCAACTTCTGTAATCTGTGTTCTCCAGCCATTATGCTGTGTCGCCCACAAATTGCTGGGGGACCCAGGGGGCTCAGGGAAGAGGGCAGGCAGTGAATGGAGCATGTGTGTGCTCTCCTTCCCTGTCTTATCTGAGAACTTCAGCGATTGTGGCATTTCATCTACCTTGGCCCCTCATCTGCAGAGTGAGAGCAAACCCCCTGCACTGGGATGTCCAAGAATTTTTATTGGCAACAAAAGTCACAGACAGACTTTCTTGGTTTAGCTCTCTCCAGTCCCTCTCTAGCATTGGATATGCTCAGAGATGACGGAGCCAAATTTAAAGTCATGTAATGTTGACTGGACCAGATGAGGATCCTTCCAAGGGCACCTACAAAAACCCCATCTTGTTGCTGCAGGCCAGCTATGGATTAGGAAACTGTGTACTTCACTGTGAAACACACCCACCGCCCAGCCTCAAGCCGGGCCCTCATGAATGCAGGAGCTCCGTGGGGCGTGCGGGGTCCAGGCTGAGCCCTGCTCGGGAGGACTGCCCAGAGATGGCCTGGGGAACAGAAAGAGGATTTTTATTGGCACTCTGTAATGCTATCATTTGCTTTATTCCCCCCTCCTACTCAGAGAGGAAAATTAGCATCCTATGATTGAGTTGTAAAAAGAATGCAATAAACACATGTACCCTAGACATAAAATCCAAGTGAAACCTTTTTGTCCTACCAGACCAGTTTCAGGGTTCTAGAAGAAGGCGAGTGGGGACTTATAAATGAGGGCCTTTGTGTTTCTGGGTCCTGTACGGACAGTGTCTTGTTGAAGTCCCACGGCAGCCCCTCAAGGAGGCAGGTGGAGCTGCCCCCTATTGCAGACGAGGAAACCAAGCTCTTCGGAAGAACCTTTCCTATTTGAGTAGGCCACGGAAGTCCAATTCATGGATCTGCTGCAAATTTAGTGGCAATGTTCTCACAAGAAGCAGAGGTTTTGTAGCGTGTACTGTGCAAATGCCTCAACGTTTATTTGGGGGCTGCTTATCTAGATCTGCAAAATGTCCTTGTATGGCTTTTCTAACTCACTCCTTGGGGCCTTTCCCCTGTGCCCGTTCTAGGTGCGCCCTCCCCGTCCGCACGTCGTGAAGAGACCGAAGAGCAACATCACGGTGGAAGGCCGGAGGACTTCTATCTCCAGCCCTGAGCAGTGAGTACCCCATTGCTCCCCTCCCCTCTGTCTCCCAGAGCCCAGGGGTCTAGGCCTTTGTGGGGTCCGTGCTGCAGCTCTGGCCTTTGAAGGCTCCCTGGAGCCCTGAGTGGGTGTTTAAACAAAGAGGTCAGTCAGGGAGTTGGGCTTGATCTTCCATGTCGGCTTTTTCTAGCAGTTATCACGCCCGCAGGAGGAGCCAGGCCTCTGGACTGGGTTTTGAGTGGTGACACCCAAAGTGTACTCAAAGAGGCTCAGAAGAAGGTTTCAGGCCTGGGTCAGCAGGGGAGAGCTAGGAACCTGGTTGAGGAGGTGATCTCTTTAGCAAGGGGCGACCACTCTCCTAAGCCTGGGGTGCTCCAGGGCTCTAGAGCTTGGATTTGTACCCAGAACTGTCCTTATCCACCGCCGCACCCCCACCAGTACCTTTGCTCCCCTGTGCCACAGCAGTCATTTTATTAGGGCTTGGCTTTGCACCTCCCCTCAGGCCCAGAGCTCTGCGGGCGGGCACTGGGTGTTCTGCCCAGAAGCTAGCACAGGGCCTGGCTCAGGATCATGTGCAGGATAGATGCTGGATAGAGGAGGTAAATAATGAGGCAGGTGGACAGGCGGTGCCTGGAGATGGAGCTGCCCAAGTGGCGTGAGGCTTAGAGCTGCACACAGCCCCCAGTCCAGAACCGTCTGGAGTGCTGCCCTTTGTCCCCAAGGCCCAGAGCCCTGGGGCTCTGCCCAGACAACTCCGCAGCTACACACTGGCTTCCTATGATGCTTTGAAAAAGTACACGAAACCGTCTCAGTCTGGGGTTTGTTAGCGGAACCAAAACAGTTGCCCCGGGGACCCTGAAGTCCCTTGGGTGAAGAGAGGAATGCTCCTCCTGTCTGCTCTACTTTCAGGAAAGTTGTCAGGGAAAGAAGCTAAGGGAAGTGGCAGGCCCTAGCCAGGAAAGGAGCCAGAAAGAAGAAACAATTCTGAAATGTCAAGCTGTAGCCTAACCTGGGTTGCAGTATACTTCAGCTCTTCTAGGATTCTCTGGTTTACAGTCTGGTGCTGCTTGAGACCACTGTGTTGTTATAGAACCAGCCTACCTAGGCCTGCTTACACCCTGCCCAGAAAGCTGTGGGAACAGTGTGTGTGTGTGTGTGTGTTTGTGTGTGTGTGTGTGCGTGCGTGCGCACGTGTGTGTGTGTTTGCACACACACATCTTGAAAGATGCTTGATTATGCAAAATTTGGAAGAGAGGACTCCTGAAGTTGGTTGTAGGCATAACTTAGCCTCTGCACAATAGGACGGTGGGAATATTAAGGAATAGTTCCCTGGCCGTGACTGGCATGGATTATGATTGCCCCCTTGTGGAGAAAATGCCGTATAGCTTCAGAGTTCCTCAGACCCTAAAGATTTCTCTTTAGGGAAGGATGAAATTAGTTACTTTTCTTTAAAACCATGTCTTTAAAACTGGGCTAAATCTTTTAGACACTGTGTGGGTGGGGCCTGTGGATACTGAAATGCAAACCCAAGAGCACGCCAGATGAGCAACACTCCACGTTTTACTGAAAAACAGTTCCCATGCTGTGTTCAGGTCACCGATTAGAGGTCGGAATTCCTAATTACGTTTATTTATGCCGTTGCTCTCCCAGCCCCGTGATAGGGGAGGCCTCTTCGGTACATGCCAAAGAGCCAGTGTCTGGTACTCCCGGCCTCCTGGGTGTTAGTAGAACTGGGCCCATATTACTTTTCATTTCTTTTCGCAATATGCCCTGTTTTAGATGCCTTTTCATGAGACATTTGGGGTTGGAACAAACAGTGGGACCGTGGGAGCTAGTTTAGTGGGTTGGCAAACTGGCCGCGATCGGAAACAAATGAGAACTTCTCTGGCCAGAGCTCACAGCAGCTCTGGCCCTCCAGGTGATCAAGAAGCACATTTGGGAATATTATTCCAAGAGTTTCTGTTCACATTTTTTAATGGGGGGGGCGCTGTTTTCCCATAATACCAGTGACATTTCTGGTGCAACTGGGGTATTTTCCTGCATCTCTTCCCATGCTGCCTCCCCACCCCCCACCCCCCCACCCCCATTGTGCTCCTCCATTTCCAAATGCCATGTCACAACAGCACTTGGATGTGTTTTTCTCAACTGTCATCAGCTCCAGCTGGCAAGACCAAGTTCTTGAAACACAGGAAGCATCCAGCGGAAAATATTTTAATAAAACAGACTCCTCATAAAATATTGTTCTGGGGGGGAAAGAAACCAGCTCCACCAATCTGTCAGCATTGTGCTGCGAGACACAAGAAGACAAGCCGGCAGGCAGGAGCCAGATCCTAATGGGCCTTTGTTGCGGGTTGGTTCCGTGTGGGGCACATGGACTCCGTGCCTAGCCCTTTAATCTAGGCTGGATTTTCTGGATTCACAGATCTTTGTCTCCGCCGGGAATATCAAAGTACATTGGCAACTTAGAGGGTTTGGCCAGCAGAGAGAGATGCAAGATCTTTGAAGTGGAGGGAAGGGTTCCGTCCTCCTGACTTCTCGCCCCAACTCTCACTTCCAAATAGCACATTAAATAATTAACTTTGTGGACGGCAAGATGTTGCTGATTAACAATAAGACAGTCTCCACGGCCTCCTGCAGCAGCTCAGTGTCTGGAATTCATCAAGGCCCAGTAGCATCGGCTGCCAGCTCTGCGGCCGGCCCCTCCGTCGGATCCAGCTCTTCCTTTCCACATGATGTCTGTCTGTCCATTCATGCATCCATTCATTCAGCAGATAGCTCCAAAAACCTACCAGGTGTGAGCGATTTGGGATTTTTAAGAGGAGACCTTTAAAGAGAATCTCCAAGCTGGACTCTTTGGTGACTTGCATTTTCCCAAAATGAAATTTCTCCTATGTCAAATGGCCTTTCCGAATCAAAGGTGGGTGTCCTCACCCCTTAAAGCCATCCGATGACAACTGGAAGAATACTTCAGAAAGGTTTCTGGGGGAAACATTCCTTCTGTTTTTCAGCTACCGCTAGCTAATTAATATTCAGTGACTATTTCTCCTCAAGAAGTGCTAGCTACTTGCATTATTATTCAGGACGGGCTAATGGAATGCTCTGAGGATTCCCTAGGGTGAGAGCTAAGGCCAGGAGGGGTCAGGCAGCGCGGGCTGTGGGTCAGAGGCCACCCAACAGCAAGTACAGTTGAGCACCTCTTATGTTCTAGGACCTCTTCGGCTGGTGTTTTTTCTTCTTCCACCGAATGGGAACTTGGGCTCAGCAAATATATGTGACCAGTGTTCCTGGGTCACCCAGTTAGAAGGTGGCAGGGCCAGGCCTCCAGATGGCTGCCTGATTTCATTCTCTCAGCTACACTCTGCTGCTCACAGGGGTCCCTTGTCAGTTTGGCTTTGCCTGGAGAGACGGTTCTGGGTCCTGTGTCCTAAGATGACTTGCCCCACACGCTGCCCTTCTTCTCTGGTTCCTCGAAGTCGGGAACTGGAGCTGTTCGGTCCTCTTCCTGGCAAAGAAACAGCGTCCCCTGGTGCCTGAGTGTTTCTCCCTGGGGAAGGAAAGACAAGCAACACTGACGGAACATCCTGTGAGACTGTGAAGAGTAGGTGGTGGCTTTCCCATCTAACAGGGAAACTGAGGCTCAGGGGGAGACTTTCTGATAGAACTAGTCCATGGTCTGAGGTAGGATCAGCTGTCTGCTGACACAGGCCCCACCCCTTATGTCCTACCCAGCCTTTTTGTTGCGAACCTAAGCTGAGTGCTGAGGACAGCAGTGGTTGCAGGGGGCGTGGTGAGGTTCCCATCTCCCACCCGTGAACGGTCATTTCAGCCACAGTGGGTGTGGCAGGCGGGCCCCAGCTTCTGTTCCCCTCGGCCTGCCAGGCGTAAGAGAATTTCCCATTGAATGTAGTGCTTAGCAGGAGCTGACAGCAAACTCTAGAAGGCAGTGCTGTGCCCACCCCTCAGGATCATGCCCAGCATGCAGATGGAGGCCAAAGGCAGGGCGTCACCTGCTGGTCCCCAGGCACCCCTCTCTGCCGGGCTGCCTGTCCGTTGTGCCCCCCAGTGGGGGCCGGGCAGTATCCCTCTCAGAGTCGCGGAGGGTACAGACGGACGTGGCCAGACAGCCTCCACCTTGTTTAACCTTAATAGCCCCAAGGGGTGCGGCTGACTTCTGAGCCTTAATGGCCAAGAGGCTGGCAGTCAGGATAGCTCAGCGACGCAACCCAGGGCTCACCAGCTGCAGAGCCTGAACTCGGGACTGCAAACCTCTGTGTGCCCTCCAACGGGTGAGCCCCACAACACCCTCGCGGGAGTCCGGACTGGCTGCGAGCTGGTTATTTGAAGTTTCATTGTACTAAGTAGGAGTGGTCCAGATTCAGGCACCAAGGGCCCACAAGCCGTTTCCCAGCTCACCTGGCTGGCCAGATTTGTACAAAATCTCTTTTCAAACAATTTCGTTTGTCTGTAAAAATGACCCAATAACCTTATAATCCAGAAGTTTGGGGAAAGAGACAAGTTCATTCTGAACCTCACTCCTTATTAGCATGTCTGCAAGTTCCCCTCCGGGGTTTGTCCTGTAGATAATTTGCAGAGCTGAAGTTTCCTTGCAATATTCCTACTTGTGGCCTTGCCGCACGTCCTCGTAACCCCTGCCGTTCACAACTGTGGCAGGATCCCGCTTTGTGTGCATGCGTGGTCCGCCTCCCCACACCCCTCATATTGGATTTGTAGATTTTTCTAGGTGTTCACTAACATGAAATGCCAGAATAAATACCCTTGTCCTTAAAGCTTTTCTCATTTGATATCATCATAGGGAATGGAATGATTAACAACTACCATTAGCCAAGAACTGCCTAAGCACTTTGCATACACCATTTCCTTTAATCTCACAAGAAATCTGGGGGAGTAGGTATCATTAGCTCGATTTTATAGAAGTAGCTGAGACCCTGAGAGGTTGTCACTGCCCCGTACCCTCACCCAGTCCCAGAGGCAGATTTCTCTTCCGTGTGGCTAAATAACTTGCTAAAAGAATTGTACCACTTTACACTCCCACCAAAACTCTGGACTCCCTGCGAATCTGGATCTGAGGGACCCAGAGGAACATGCACTAGAAATCCTTCTGACCAAGGAGAAATCCTGCTGGTTGCGCTGGCTGGACAGACAGACCATCTGAGCACCAAACTGCCGGCCCACGCTGCTTAGGGATGGCAGAGTCTCATCATCCAACTTGCACCGTGTCACCCCAGCACCCAAAGCCCCAGAAGATTAAAAGAAGCTGCCAGAAGCATTTAGTGAGAGCTCCGCCCATAGACGAGGTCTCGGAACACTGCAGCTATACCACCATCTCCTCAAGACCTGTCCTTGGCATGGCCCAAGTGGTGCGGGCCATGGATCACACGGGGTAGAGCCCTTCTCCCTGCCCCCAGGCCCAGAGCTGCCCCAGGGGCGTGGTTGGTGAAGCACTGCTGGGCCGGTGGGCTGGTGCACTGGGGCGGAGGGGGGGGAACCTCTGGCACCCCACAAACCTGGGTCAGCCTCCTGCCCACTGCCAGCCAGAGACCCTGGGCAAGACTCTGCCCTCTTTTTTCCAACACAATGTCTGTTCGCATCCCAAAGAGCACAATTGGGGAAACTGCCCCTAGGAGCCGCACTAGCATCCTGAGGTGGCGGGGCACACCAGTCTCCCCTCCTGCAGCAGTGCTCCTGTCAACGGTCTAATGCTCACCCTGTTGCCTTCCCGTGAGCTGCGCCCTCCCCTCCCCGTGCCCACTGTCCCGTGGCTTCCCGTGACACAGCGCTGACCTTCCATGTTATAGTATTTGCTTTACATCATGCACATGCACACACACACACAGACACACACACACACACACACACACGTGCACCCCAGGAGCCTGGGAGCTCCTCCGGGGCAGAGCCACCGTGTGCCCTTCAGCTTCAATGCTTCAACTCCTGAACCAGAGCCTAGCCCAGACCTCTGCTCAGGGATGTTTACTGAATGAATGAACAAGGGAATCACTGAAGCTTATAGCCCAGCACCCTGGAGATGGGGAAGGGGTGTCAGTTAACCACAGGTGTGTAAAGAGCACCTATTATGTGCCAGGTGTGATTGGGATGTGACTCTGAGGCTACCAGCACCTCTCCTGCCCGGGGCCGTCTAAGAGCCAGAAACTGCCATCAGCCCCAGGAGCCAGTCTCCAAGATGCCAGCTGGGCCCTGGGCCCCAGGGTTGGGGACAGCTGTCTAGGTACTACCCATTGGCAGCCTGCCAGGACCCACTCCCTGAGCGGCCAGGAGTCCAAACACCAGAGCAGAAGGTCCCAGACCCAATTAGCAATGTGAGAGGCCCCTGACCCAACTTAGGCCCCCCATCCCCTCGCCAACAGTGGGTTCTGGGCCCTGGGGACAAAGCCACGCCAGGAGCCAGACAGGGAGTCTGAGCCCAGACTGGAAAAGCAGGAACTGCCAAGGAGTCCCCAGGGATGTGCAGCAGGCCAGAAAAACACAGGTCTCCCTCGTCCCCAGCCACTTTTGCCTGATACCCGAAGGGAAGGACCTCTCCCAGGAGCAGTCAAGATAGTTAGGAGTTAGTGCCCCAGACTTGCTGGTTTCAGCCTCCTCTGGAAGCTTTGCCACCTCACCTGAGCCCCTCCCTCTTCCAGGCATCTCGCCACCATTTCTCATGCCTGTTTTCAGGCCCAGCACTTCATATGTGTCACCTTGGTTAACCTCCTCCACTCCCCAGAAGTCCTCCTGGTGCAGGTGTGTTAGCCTGTTCAACCATGAAGGAACCAAGGCTCTAACAGGTGGAATGACCTGCCCTTGGATCCAGAATATGCACCCACACCCACGTCCACTGCTCTCTCACCAGACACCCTGCCCTCCACCGCTGCTCCCAGGGTCCCCAGCAAAGACGCAGGCTCATGGCAGGCAAAGGCCATCTTCGGCTAGAGGGGCAGTTGTTCTTCACAGTCTACGCAATTTCTCTTCCGGATAGGAAAAGCGTGGAAAGTGTCCCCATCCCCCCCAAGGTGTCCCCATCTTCCCTCTACCAATGAGCCTGAAGAGTGGGACAGTGGAGTGAAGCCCATGTCCTGTGTTCGGGCCTCTCTACCTATGAGAGTATACGCCCAGTAGCCTGGGAAGGACTGGGGCACGGGTGTGGACATGTGAAATTGACACTAGTGATTTTTTGAAAGAAGGAATGAGTGAATGAAGGTATGGGTTGATAAGTAGTCAAACAGATGGACTAATGGAGATAGGAAAGGCAAAGGGCACAGCCAACCTGAGAGAGAGCAGTGGGGCCAAGCCAGTAAAGCCCCCTGCTGCCTCCCCAGCCCCCACATCACCCCCTAACCTCTCATGTCGCCTTGGTCCTCAGGTGGGTTCAAGACCCTCCACCACCTGGTCCCTGCCAACCCTGCCAGCCTCTTTTCTTGAAATTCCCACCCTGACCTCAAGCCCCTTGTTCCCACTCCTCCCAGGGACACCTCCAGGCCATCCTGCAGCCTCCTCCATTTCGCATGATTGAAAGCCCAGTTCCCACATCACCTCCCAAGTGGAGCCTCATCCAAGAGCCCCCTGAGCCAGGTATACCCCCACCACTGCCCTCTGGGCCTGTCATAGCCCATCAGAACTCCCCGAGAGAACCCATCCGGGGATCCGGTCACAGCACCTCTCCATCACCATAACACAGGGCCAGGACTGCAGACCTGGCTTGTGCATGTACGCAGGTGAAAACAATAGAACAGGCTCTGAAGCAAGTCAGGGTGGTCTCTGGGGGAGCCAGCTTGGTGCGAGACCCACGGGGGGAACCTCTGGAACTGCACTGGAGCTCTCTTCCGTGTGACCTGGGCTAACAGTAGGACCATTCTCAGGGAGGAAGAGAGGACAGATACCGAACCTGCTGGACATTGGGTCTTTCCACTCCGTTGTGTGTCTGTACTTTAAAACAATAAGAGGGGATCACTGCTGTAATGAGGCATGATCACCAGTGAGAGAGAGTTCTTCCTGTCAAGTGAACTTGTGGTCTTGTGGGGACCGGTGGGTGTGAGATCAGGTTTTTCTCACCCCACTGGGCACTTGCTGTGCCGGAGGGAAGGTCTTCGAAGGCAGCAACCACCTTATATTCATCCTTGACCGCCTAGGGAAGAGCCTGCACAGGATGAAAATGCCCGGAATCTATTTGTTGGCAGGTGAATGTGGTGTATGGATAGTAACTAAATATGTACGATGTGCTGGGCATGAGGCAAAGCCCTTTCTGAATAATTTCATTCAACTTCATTCCACCCACCCTCAGGGGGGCTGTAGAATCCCCATTTTACAGCTAAGAAGTTGAGGCACGGGGAGGTATAAAATGACTTTCCCAAGGTCATCTGGCTGGGAAGTGGGGGATGATGGAAAGCTGGACAGACTGGCATCCATTGGGCAGGCAGGACCTGGCCTTGTCCTGGGGCCTGTCCCCGTTCATCAGCCCAGCTGGAGCTTCACCATCAAAGGACACCAGACCGGCCGAGACATTTACCAAGTAAAGATCCTTTGTGCTAGAGTGAAATGATCCTTTAAAAATGATCACCAGCTCCCCTCGTTACCTCCAGAGACCAAGTCCTTGCTGATTTTTTCCCTTCTTTATCTCAAGTACATTTAAATGTCAATTAAATTTGAAATATCTACATTTGTCAGCATTTCATTTTGGGCCAGCGTGACGTGCTGCTGATTTGTCCACGCGATGTGACACATGAAAAAAACTCTCGAGATGCAGATCTTCCTCATTAAAAAATAAGCCCGTGCGATCCCGGCACGGCGGAGAGCCACAGAGCACGTCCCTGCTTCCTGACGCCGTGTCTCTGACATGGTATTTAAAAAGGAACAGCCGCGCCTGTCACCACTGTCACATACGCGCGCTAACCGGCGACACGTTAAACCAAACATTAGAAAGGGTTCGGGAAGTCATCTGCATGGGAACTCCGAGCCGAGATGAGGTGGGCAGAGGCGGGAGCAGCCGTGGGAGACGATGGGGTCTGAATGGTGATGGACAGCGGGCCTTTCTTTCTCGCCAAGACTCCGGCAGCCAAGTTCACCACGACCTGCCTTTTCACAGACAGCTCTTTGTGTGTAAGAAAATCCAGGCGAGTGGTGGGTGGCAGACTGCAGGGGAGTAGCTGAATTGGGTTAATGAGGGAAGAGGTACACTTTTTCCCCCCCCTCATATTCTGCCTTGAGCTAATAAAAAATTTAAACCTGGACATTTTCAACGATTCATCCTTTATCTCTGACAAATATCTGACTGTATGTTTCATAGGAGGACATGAGCAGTTGAATTTAAATAAGTTTATTTTGAAATCTCACTTTTTATTAAAAGTAGAAGGGGGAACAGCCTCCCCCTTATTTCATTGTTTCAGATCTGCAGAACCAAAGAGGCAGGACCACAAAGTGGTTTCGAGTCAGGCAGACCCCGATTCCTGGCTCAACTGGTAGCTGCTGTGGGACACTGGGCGAGTGACTACCCTCTCTGAGCTTTGGCTTCTCTGTCTGCAAAGGGAGGATGTGATAAGGAATTAATGAGAAACCATCCAGGCAGCATTTAGCCTAACACTTGTTAAGTACTGCTGGTCTCATCGTCGTCATCCGTGTGGCCCGAAGCCTGAAAAAACGCTGATCTGACCAAACCACCTGGCGAGGTTCTCTCTCACTCTCTAGAGACAGGTGGCGCGTTCAGGAGACACCCCCGGCCTCTTGTTGAAGCTACCGCCCAACCCGCCAGGAGAGCTGGCCGGAGAGGGAAAGTGGTTTGTGAGCTGGAAGGTGAGGTTCCTTCTTCCCCGTCTCGGCCCCCAGGCCCGCTCCGCCATCACACCAGTGTGGGAAGGCACTGGATTTGACAGGGCTGTGAACTACAGCAGCCTGGTTTGATGACGCCAAGGCCCAGTCCAGCACAAAGGCTCTTCGCTCTTACGTGAACCCAGACATTCCCGGCAGGTTTAGTGGCATTCAGCTAATTGCCGAGCTGTGATCTCTGCTTCCTTGTCAAAGCCAGAGGAGGAGAGCATACTTGGAGGGGCATCGGAAGCGCGTTCGAGATGGATCCAAGGGACACCAAAGTGCTTCATGCAGTTTGACCCAAGCAGAGGTGCGTGCACGTCTGCCACCGGCCCGGTTCACAGGACAGGGAGGCCCTGGCCTGGAATCCCTGCTTGTCACTTCCTGGCCAGGGCGTGTGGTCACATCTGTCTTCCTCACGGTGATTCCCAGCGCTCAGCCAACACTGGGTCTGCTCACAGCAAGCACTCGGGAAGTACCTCACGGCTGGCTGGGTGTGTGGATGGATGGATGGACAGATGGATGGACGGACTAATGACAGGCTCATCCTCTGTAAAGTCAGTGCAGCGAAGCCTTCCCGCTGGGCTGTTGGGAGGGGTGGAAATCACCTGTATGAAGCCCCTGGCACAGTGGACATTGCTTTAAACGTTTTTCCGAGACTCCTGCCTACTCCTCCACACCCAGCAAATACGGTCCCATTATACGGTCTCAGCATCTCAGATGCTCACCCCCAAATATGGTCCCATTTTACGGTCTCAGCATCTCAGAGGACAGATGGGGACCTCAGGGGACACTTTTCTACTGCACAAGCTGATGGAAGGGACAGGTGCTGTGCTGGGGCTCCAGAAACATGGGTGAGAAGGGTGGGGCTCCCCAGCACACTGGCTCCCACTCCTGAGTTCGCAGACCTCCCCAGCACTGACGCTGTGCCCCAGGTGCGGATGAAGAGAAGGATGAGCCCGGCCCCTGCCCTTGAGGAGCTGACTCAGAAACAGAATTGCAGGAGGTTAAATGACATCGATGAAGTGCTGCAACACACAGCCCAAGGGGAAGCGGACTCCATCTAGGGGGGGAAACTCCGGCTGGGAATTCCAGGAAGGCTTTCTGGAGCGCCAAGTGAGCCGAGTCCTCAGACCAAAGAGCCAAAGAACAATCAGTGCACCAGGCAAAGACCATGGGGAGGTCTGTAGGGCATGCAGGGGAGGGCGGGAGGGGGCTGCAGAGGTGGACAGAGCCAGGCATACAGCACGGTGTCTACCCTGCATGGAGCCTGGACTTGGCCCTGCCTCCCCGCAGCCTGCACCCCTGCCCACCCAGTATATTCCACAAGCTCCCCAGAGTGGGGCCTGAGGCCAGGATACCTGTCCACTCCTCCAGCCCTACTCACCTGCCCAGGAGAGCCGTCCAGTGCTAGAAGTGAGTGCATCCCCCTAACTTTTAAACAGTTGAGTAAACCATTCTGTAAATGTCTGAACGTTATTGTTCCTAACACTTAATGGGTTTACTCACCACACAACCAACTCCCTCGACATCGCTATTCGCAGCCGTGGACGTGCAGGCGTGAAGCAGGAGAGTGACAAGGTTGGGTCTGTGATTCACAGCAGGATTCCAGTGGCTGTGCGGAGTGGCCCTTCTGCACTGTTTTATGTCCCAGGGGATGTGGCAGGAGCCAGGCGGCCTTGTTTCCATGAGTCACATCTTCCTGCCCTCTCTCCTGAGTCCAGAGGAAAACACTCCACCTAAGCCGATGCTCTCTCTGGTCCAGGAAGGGCCAAGTCCCTTACCATCCAGGTAGGCAGCCTGGGCAAGGAGAGGAGCCCGGTGACCCGCCACCTCCCTGTCCCTGTGTGCGACCCTGGCCAAGTGGCTTCACCTCTCTGAGCCTCGGTCTCCACTTCAGTATGAGGACAAATCTCCTAGCCTGCCTAACTTCCAGGGATGGCACGAGGAGTGAACGGGCCTCGGCGGGCATGTGCCAGGGAGCTCTGCGGTGCTGGGAGCCAGTCCTGGTTATAAAAGACTAGCACATTCCTGGGGACAACTGGCTTAGCACCTGTGATGGTAGATCACAGCACAGCCCACTCTCCCAGTCCCTCCCCACCCTCCAGTGTGGCTCCCATTCACTCTTCCAGACATGGTGCCCTTTTATGAAATGAAACCTAGAAGGAATTGCATCGGAAAGCAGAGAAAGGAGCCTGCTCTGTCCGGGGCGGGGGGAGAGGCGGTGAGAGAGGAGACTGCCCCCCACTTGGGCACCCCTACCCTTCCTGCCCCACCCTCTCACGAACTTCACTGCTGCCCCTGGGCATCCTTAGAGCTTGCCCAGCCCAGTGTGCAGGCCCGAGCAGCGGCCGTGGGGTGCCAGATGTGCCCGGTCCCGCTCCCCTCTCCCAGGCCCACGCCACTCACGGGCCCTGGTCGGTGTATAATTCATGGTGGCCACGCGGACTTTCTTGGGGGCTACGCAGTGTTTGTGTTTATAGAGGTAGAGCTCACAGGTGGCTGACAAGGGAGATGTATTTTTTATAACAATGAATATTTAATTTCCACATCACAGATGAAAAAGACTCTCTGAAGAGGCGTATGAGAGAGACTCCAGAGAGCAGCCGCTAATCAGAAGAGGGCCTTCTAGCCGGAGCCCCTCCACGTGGCTC